CTTTTGAAGAGTACATTACATCTACGGTATGAAAGATTCATTCATTTGATCTATTTATACTTTTTTTTTTTTGGATAGGGCAAAAATATGCACATATACAATTCAATGATGTTGCACATACTATTACATTACATATCGTTTATATAAATTCAAATTCCAACTGATAGAGATAATGTTATCGTTCCCGTAATTTGTATATTGTGGAAAGATTGTGGATGATTAGCGAATTTTTGTTCTATGCAATACACATGAAGGAGGGTTATAAATTTGACCTTCACTATTTGACATGGTTAGAATGATGGATTATGTATTTTGTATATGATGTTAACAGATGTAGCTTTGACTTGTCTATATGATGGACCAATTAAGGTTTTTATTGTCACATTTAATAATTTTTAATCATTCGACCTTGTAGTTTTAGTTCTTTGCAAGTTATCTTACAAATAACATCATTTGCTTGCTTTTCTGTTTCAGGTATTGCCTTCTTTAAGGGAGAAGCATGATGAGTTCATGATGAGAGAGCTTGTGAATAGGTGGTCGAATCATAAAGTGATGGTCAGGTGGCTTTCTAGATTTTTTCATTATCTTAGTCGCTACTTCATTCCTCAGAGGTCACTTCCAGCACTTAATGATGTCAGACTCACTTGCTTCCAGTATCTAGTATGTCATGCTTGTATCCTATTGTTATCTTGCCATCTTTGTTTCCTTCTTTCTCTTTTTGAACTGCCCTTTCCTTTTACGATATATTGCATTGAAACCCCTTTGGAACATATTTTGATTTCAGGTCTATCGAGAGTTAAATGGTAAAGTAAGGGATGCTGTAATATCTCTGGTATGTCTGAGCCATTGTGTCAACTGTACACCATTATTTCCATCTTTCCTACTCTGGTTAATCAATAGTATCTTCTAAACAGATTGATCGAGAGCGTGAAGGAGAGCAAATTGACCGAGCTTTGTTAAAAAATGTTTTGGATATATTTGTTGAGATCGGAATGGGGCAAATGGATCATTATGAGAATGACTTTGAAGCAGATATGTTGAAAGATACCGAGGCTTATTATTCTCGAAAGGCTTCAAACTGGATCTTGGAAGATTCCTGTCCAGATTATATGTTGAAAGTAAACATCTATTCATTTTCTTTTTTTCTTGTTAAGGTCAGATATATTTGTTTGATAATCCTATATGATTTCTAAAAAATCCTTTTATAACTCTAGGCTGAGGAGTGTTTGAAACGAGAGAAGGATAGGGTTGCTCATTACCTACATTTTAGTAGCGAGCTGAAGTTGCTTGAGGTTTGTTCTTCCTCTTGTAAAGGCATACTAAATTTCTTTCCACCCAATAATAATTAGTCTTTTAATGGTCACTTCTTTTATTTATTTTGAGGCCAATTTTGAAGATATGCACTTTTGCTGTTATAATTATGGTTCATTTTGTCTTCCTATAGAAAGTTCAACATGAATTGTTATATGTTTATGCAACCCAATTGCGCGAGAACAAGCACTCTGGATGTCATGCATTGCTTAGGGATGACAAGGTAGTCATTTGGACAATTTTTTTTATCAGACTTGGACTATGTTATTATTCAAGCCTTCTTGTTGTTATTTTAGTTGCAATTAACTAAAGTATATTAACATTTTTTTCCTGTTCTCTTGTAGGTAGAGGATTTATCAAGGATGTATAGGCTCTTTTCCAAAATAGGTTTAGATCCGGTTTCTAGTATATTTAAACAGGTTTTTGTCTTTAACTTGCAGTACATTGTTCTGTAAAGAATGTAGCATTGTGCCTCTGGTATTATTTCTTTATTTCCCTTATTTATTTTGAAGTTTGGCTGGGTTTTTCTTTATGCAGCATGTTACTGCTGAAGTTACAGCATTGGTTAAACAAGCTGAAGATGCAGCCAGCAATAAGAAGGTGATGTAATCTTGATTGTGTTATTTTAGATCCCATAGTCTTTGTGCTATTTGTCTTCTAAGGAGGTGCATTTCACAAGGCTCATGATTGATCTGCCATTACATTGGACTTGGTTAACAAGTTATCTACTCTTTTGTTTTCTTTTTTTTCTTTTTTCTTTTTTTTCTTTTTACTTAAGGAAATTGAATTTGGATTTTAATTAAATGAATGGCAATGTACAAAATTTAGCACTACATTTGACTTTGGGGGTAAAAATAATTGTTTGATGTGGTGGCATCATTGACCAAGGTTGTTCACTTAAATTTTTTCTTTCTTTTCCTTTTTTTATTTTATTTCCCTTTTTCTGGGTGGAAAGAACATATCTACTCTTGTATGTCTTAGTGATAATCTTTTCTAATTTTATTTCTGGTTCTAATGCTAAGAAGTGTCCTTGTACAGGCAGATAAGAAAGATGTGCTTGGTCTGCCAGAACAGGTAATGTCAAATTCTTATAGTACTTCACTTCTGGGATTTGTCAATGGATTCTTGGTATGGGAACTGACTAACCTGTGGGGTCTTTAGGTTTTTGTTAGAAAAGTTATCGAGCTTCTTCATGCCAAGTACATGGCGTACGTAAGTAACTATTTTATGAACCCTACTCTTTTCCACGAGGTTTGTATTAAACAATTGCTGCATAGTTGTGGTTTCCTTCCTATTATTCATGTATTAAAATCTCCCTTGTTTGTCTTAGGCACTCAAAGAGGCTTTTGAAGTCTTCTGTAACAAAGGTGTTGGTGGAAGCTCGAGTGCAGAACTTCTAGCCACATTTTGTGATAATATTCTCAAGAAAGGTGGGAGTGAAATTGAGTGACGAAGCCATTAAGGAAACACTTGAGAAGGTATGCTTCTATCTTTCATAGCATTTGCTTTGACTTATTGTTGAGAATGAGATACAAACATTTGCAATTGGATTTCTTTTTATTCTACAGGTAGTAAAGCTCCTTGCTTATATTAGTGATAAAGATCTGTTCGCTGAATCCTACCAATAATTTTATTTAATTTTTTGTTGGTTTTCAAGTGATTTCAAAATATTGTGATTGGATGATTCATAGATACTTATTTTTTGTTGCAATGACTGGCAGAAAAAAGCTTGTTCGACGCTTACTTTTTGACAAGAGCGCCAATGATGAGCATGAGAGAAGTATCCTGACAAAGCTGAAGCAGCAATGTGGTGGTCAGTTCACATCAAAGATGGAGGGAATGGTAAGTTGTCTACAACCCGTATTAATTTGCAAGCCATGCTTTAATATAGTTTTGGGATACTGGCAGATATAATTGTTTTCTTGCTTTGCTGTTTTCCAGGTCACAGATTTGACTTTGGCAAGGGAAAATCAAACTAACTTTGAAGAGTACCTCAAAACCAATCCAAATGCAAGTCCTGGGATTGACCTGACTGTTACTGTCCTGACTACTGGCTTTTGGCCTAGTTACAAGTCTTTTGACCTCAACCTCCCAGCAGAAATGGTAATGCTTGTAGATTGTTATTCGCACATAGATTGAAATTTTGAAATTGTTTCTTTTAATGTGAATTTATGTCATATACTGTGTTGCTGAACATTCTCACAGATGTCATTCTGTTTATTCACTTCTGCTCTAGTTAAGTGTGTGGAAGTTTTCAGAGAATTCTATCAAACAAAAACAAAACACAGAAAACTTACATGGATTTATTCATTGGGTACTTGTAACATCAATGGAAAATTTGAACCCAAAACTATGGAGCTCATCGTGACAACCTACCAGGTATTTTGTTGAAGAAACTTATTTTAATCTAATGCATGGATTTATGATTCTTAACGCAGAGGTTTGAGCTTTAGCATTTCATCCATACAGGCTTTTGTGCTGCTGCTTTTTAATGCCTCAGACAGGTGGAGTTATCAGGAAATCATGACTCAATTAAACTTGACAGATGATGATGTTGTTAGGCTACTCCATTCTCTTTCATGTGAAAAGTATAAGATTCTTAACAAAGAACCAAACAACAAAACAATCTCTCCAACGGATCACTTTGAGTTCAACTCTAAGCTCACCGACAAGATGAGAAGGATTAAGGTGTTGACATTATTTTTCGTTTTGACCTCAATATGTCATGTAAGTTTCTGTTTCCGTTTCCTTTTACTGATTCTATGATTGGGATGCAAAAATGCTTCAAAATGTAGATTCCTCTCCCTCCTGTGGATGAGAAGAAAAAGGTAATTGAAGATGTTAACAAGGATAGACAGTATGCTATTGATGCTTCAATTGTGCATATCATGAAGAGTCGGAAAGTTTTGGGCCACCAGCAGTTGGTTATGGAGTGTGTTGAGCAGTTGGGCCGTATGTTCAAGGTATCTCCGAAGTTACAGCATTTTATTTTCACCTATTTTCTTTTTATCCAATTCATTTTCAAGTTCAATGTTGTTTACAAAACTGTGAATACGCAGCCTCATTTCAAAGCAATCAAGAAGAGGATCGAAGATTTGATCACTCGGGACTATCTGGAAAGAGATAAGGACAACCCAAACTTGTTCAGGTACTTAGCATGATTTCACCCGGCTGATAGTGTGGATGACTAGGAAGCACAGATACGGATACGGGATACGGGTACGATACGACAAAATTCAAAAAAGTAGGATATGGATACGGCGGGGATACGTTCATAAAAAATATTTTTTTTACAATTTTTAGTAATGTATCATACATAAAAATAAAACTTTAACAATTTTTAGTAATGTAGCATACATAAAAATAAAACTTAAAGCAAAAGACAACTTGATAAAAAAAGAAAGATTCTTATAAAGCTAAGAGTCTTCAAGGTCAATGGCTTCAACTTGTTCCCCTTCATCAGTGAATATCACAGCTTCCATATCTGGTTTATCAAGAGAAAGACTTGCAATTTCAAGTAAGCCTGCACCCTCCAATGAATCAAAAGCATCTCCACTAACATCCCATAACTTGGATTCTCCTTCAATGTACTGTTGATTTCTCCTTGATAGGAGACGAAGATTGTTGTGCACAAAAATCAAATCTTCAGCACGTTGTGGTGTCATTTTGTTTGTTTTCATGGAGTGAATAAAGGAGTAGGTGCTCTAATTCCTTTCAGAGCATGATGAGGAACATGGCTGGCCAAGCAATTTTAATGCTAAAGATTGAAGCATAGGAGCAGGAGACCCATGTGTAAACCACCAAATAAGTGGATCCAATACTACTCTATCAATCTTTGAGTCAAAATCTCCAAACATATCCAAACCTCTTGAAAACTTGGCATATTCCACATTGACAACCATTCTCTCCTCTAAATTTGGAAAGTATTTCTTGAAGCACTTGTTTGTTATACTTGAAATTTCTTCATCCCTATGAGGGACACGATTGGGATTTTCATCAAGCCACGTTGAACTATAATACCTAGATTACAACATTAGAAAGTTTTAAAATTAAATTACGTTTTTCATATTAAAAGACAAATGTCAACAAAGAAATGTAATTAGTAAGAGTATGAATTAAGCTATTACCTTGGATTCAAAGAATGTGCAAGGCAATGAAGAGGAGTGTTACTTTTGGACCACCTCTCAACTAGTATATTGTGCACAACGGAATAAAAGATTGATTCCTCATGATCTAGCTTCCCTTCATGCCTAAAGATGCTTGCCTTCACCTTTTCAATCATGGTGTCCCACATTTCATAGACTAAGTGAAGGCATGGTTTGTCAGTGTCACAAAACCTAAGCATCTCATAGATAGGCAATGTAAAAGACAAAATGTAATCAATCTTATCCCACCACACATCATTCAATAATTTTTCCTTCACAGATGCAGCTTTCCCAACATCGTCTTCTTTGCACATAAACAAACAATGAACTCAACCTCTATCATACTTAATTCAAGAGGCAAAGTATGCATGCCAATGTAATGCAACCTAGGCATGTGAGCTAAGTGTGCAACATGATCATGCAAACAACAAAACCATGTGCAATGGGCCATGAACTAAACAAGTAAGCATGCAAGGCATATAACATCAATGTTAATGACACACATGCAACAGCATGAAAGGCATAACACATGTAAATATGCAAAGCAACTCAACACAAGAAGCATGCCAAATGCAATTGCACTTAAACATACAACATGTTAATAGACTAAGTACCTAAACATACAAACATGTATAGCATGCAACAACATGCCAAAGGGATGGTCTTAAACTAATTTGGATAGCTCTCTACTAGGTCCAAAACAGTGGCCACAATGATGCAAGTGAGGCAACAAAATACATGGAATGCATGCACAATGCCTTAACCAAGCTTAAGGCACAAAAATGCAACTCTACCAAAGCATGGCAAGGAGGAACTATGGCATACAATGGTGCATGTTCCAGATCTGAAATGGCATACCAAATGACTCCAAAATGACCCCAAAACATGAAAACACTACCATTTAAGCATGCAAGAAGCTTCAAAACTCAAAGCTAGGCATGGGCATTGCACTACAAGCATGCATAACAAGCGTTATTCAACCATGAGGCATGAAAATAGTGCTAAGGCAGTCCAAAACATGCATGAAATAAGTTCAAGTCATGGCCAAAAAGTGCTAACATGAAGGGCCAAAACAACATGCAACATAGGCTACTAAACATGGTTTACACTACATGTATATGAAGCACAAGAGAGGTCACCAAACCAGCCCAAAACAGTAATGTGGTATGTCAAATAAGCCCCAAAAACCCATGGAAACAAGGTCCACACATGCTACAATGGCGTGTTCCTTTGAAAGGCCAACAAGAGGGTTACTCTACACATGCAATAAGGACATTCAACAAGACCAAACCAACTCTGGAAATGGCTTATGCGGGTCCTAAAACCCACTGAAAAATGCTTGAAACAAGGCTTGGAAGCATTCAAATAGGAGCCCCTTTGGAAGGCTAAAAAGGGCAACAAACAAGGCAACAAGGGAGAGGGTCACCCCTCTCCTTCTTAGGATCTCAAACCACCATCCTCACCACTGAAATCCCTCAAGATTTCAGTGGTGAGGAGGCCCAAACAAGATGGTCCCGGAGCTCACCATAATCACACAAAAATGGGGCCAAACAAGGCCTAAGAGGGGGTAAACGACCCCAAACACAAAAGTGGTCTTAAACAAACTTCAAAAGGAGCTCTAAATAAGACTTTTTTCAGTTTATGAAAAAGCCCAAAACAGCTTGCAAGACAGGCTAAAAGTGTGTACAAAAACGGGGAATGAAGAGGGTAAGAAGTTACCTTTGAAGACCAGCAAGAACCAGCAGCCTTTAGGTCTCAAAAACCAGTCCCTTGGCCTCTAAAAATGAGCTCCAAGAACCTCCAAGTGATGATGGAAGTGTGTGGCTATGAAGGGGTGTGCAATTGGCCAAGAACAAGACCCTTTTGGACCCTCTAACCCACCCAAATGTAGAGAGAGAGGGAGATATATAGTGAGAGTGATATATATATCTTATATATCAGATTTTCTAACCCTCTAAAGAGGAGGAGAGGCCCTCTTTTTATAGAAAAACCAAGGGGGCAAAGCTTCTCTTAGAAGCTTGGAGCAAAAGGGCCAAGCTTCTTGGAGAAGTTAGGCAAAAGGGTCAAGAGGTTCAAGCTTCTTCAAGAAACTAAAAAAAGGATCAAGCTTCTTGGAGAAGCTAAAAAAAGGGTCAAGCTTCTTGGAGAAGCTAAAAATGGTCCAAAGGTTCAAGCTTCTTGGAGAAGCTAAAAAAGGGTCAAGCTTCTTGGAGAAGCTAAAAAGGTTCAAGCTTCCTCAAGAAGCTAAAAAAAAGGTTCAAAAGGGTCAAGCTCCCTCAAGAAAAGGTCTCGGTCAGGAAAAGTGGCCGATTGATCAAAACAGTTGCCGGCCGACCAAACACAATGCCGACCGAGCATCAATAGTGCCGACCGGCCATCACCAATGGCCGGTGGCAAGGAAACAAGGCCGGTGGCCTGAAGCCATGGCTGGTGAGATGTGGGGATGGCCTACAAGCTACTTCCCACCCTCAGAAGCAAAACAACAAGTGTTTGATGCAAAACCAAACACAAAACAAACAAGTCGAGAGGTCTTGAGGTAAGGCGCGTAGCCGAAACCTCCGAGAACTCAAGACGAACACAAACAAGGGTAATCATTGAGTGTTCAAACGATGACGTCCAAGTCTTAAGGACGGTCAAAAATGGGGTGTCTACAGTTGCCCCTCTTTGACAGAACTCGGGAGTCATAAAAATGACGGGAATGAGTGTCAAAGTCCAGAGACGACCCATTTTTGACAAGGCCGAAGACTTAGACAAAAGCATACAAGCAGCAAACAAAGATATGCGCCCGAGGGCAGGGGCAAAATGCAAGACAATGCACAAAGCCGAGCATAACTTATGATCATGCATGAAACATAGGGACGTATCCCTGTGTTTCGGAAAGGTATAAGCATTGGAACGTATTCCAAATGCTCTTAACCAAAGAGAGGGAAACATAGGGACATATCCCGGTGTTTCGAAACGAATGAGAAACATAGGGACGTATCCCGGTGTTTTGGAAAAAGAAGGAGAAACATAGGGACGTATCCCGGTGTTTTGGAAAAGGAGAAGAAACATAGGGACGTATCCCGGTGCTTCAGAAAGAAGGGAGAAGAAACATAGGGACGTATCCTAGTATTTTGAACAAGGGGAAGAAACATAGGGACATATCCCAGTGTTTCAGAACAAGGAGAAGAAACATAGGGACGTATCCCGGTGTTTCGAACAAGGAGAAGAAAAACATAGGGACGTATCCCGGTGTTTCAGAACAAGGAGAAGAAACATAGGGACGTATCTCGGTGTTTCGAACAAGGAGAAGAAACAGAGGGACGTATCCCGGTGTTTTAGAACAAGGAGAAAAAACATAGGGACGTATCCCGGTGTTACAGAACAAGGAGAAGAAACATAGGGACGTATCCCGGTGTTTCGAACAAGGAGAAGAAACATAGGGACGTATCCCAGTGTTTCAGAACAAGGAAAAGAAACATAGGGACGTATCCTAGTGTTTCGAACAAGGAGAAGAAACATAGGGACGTATCCAGGTGTTTCGAACAAGGAGAAGAAGCATAGGGACGTATCCCGGTGTTTCGAACAAGGAGAAGAAACATAGGGACGTATCCCGGTGTTTCAGAACAAGGAGAAAAAACATAGGGACGTATCCCGGTGTTTCAGAACAAGGAGAAGAAACATAGGGACCTATCCTGGTGTTTCGAACAAGGAGAAGAAACATAGGGACGTATCCCGGTGTTTCGAACAAGGAGAAGAAACATAGGGACGTATCCTGGTGTTTCAGAACAAGGAGAAGAAACATAGGGACGTATCCCGGTATTTCAAACAAGGAGAAGAAACATAGGGACGTATCCCGATGTTTCGGAATGGGAAGGGGAAACATAAGGACGTATCCCAGTGTTTCCGAATAAGAGAGCGTGCATAACAATGCAAGTGGAAAGTGCGTGACAACGCAAGTGAAAAGGTGCATGACAATGCAAGTATAATGTGCATAACAATGCAGGCGTAACGGTGCATAACAATGCTAGATAGATGTGCATAACAATGCAACGAATGGTGTGCGTAACGATGCGATGAATGTGCAACTTCAAAAGCGCGTTTTGAAACAAAATGCCGAATAAGGAAATACAAGCCTTAACGAGACCAAATCCAAACACGACCTCCGATTTACCTATCGGAGGGGTTTGTAACACACTCCGCTTGAAAAGGGTACACCCTGTTTATATTGGCGAGAGATAACATCTGCTACTGCTTTAATTGCCATTTTGACTTGAAGCAGGCTTAAGCTTGGGGTTGAGATACACTCATACTCCAGAGAAATGCAGAGGCCTGAAAAGGTGCACCCGGAATGCAGTCTCGGAATTTGCTGAAGTTGAAACACACTAGGATGCTCCAAATTTTCCCTATTTTCTTTTGCTTTGCAGTCTGGAACCCACATAGCTTCAGGTAGGTCTTGGTTTTACTGTTCTCACATGACCAGGGTTGAACCCTGCGATTTTTATGAAAGAACAAATCCTGTTTTGCACAAATATGGAGAATGGCACAGCACTCTGAGCACAAAAGGATTTGATTGAAATTGAGAAATGAGTTCTCGATCGGGTATTGAGCCTAAGACTGAACACAGCGCACTACGACTCAACAATGCAAAACAAAAGGTAAACAACCAAAACACATCGAGTCATGCTCGGGACGACTTAAAGCAAGAATCGAGACAAACAAAACAAAAGACACGACATACAGACGTGCACAGGGAGCCTGTTTCTTCGGGTATTGTTTCCCACCCTTTCTCATTTGTGATTCTCACATCACTCGGCCCTCAAGCTCTGTTTTTTTGAAAAAGCCCTTTTCCTCACTTTTTCTCTCAGCGCACATCTCTCTATTCTTCAATCTCTCATTTTTTATCCCTCCCCTGGGTGGTTGATGGATAAGCTGGAAATTGCGGGTTCTTGCCCCTAGCATTCTGTTAGATTCTCTTCTCTTGCTCACAACAGTGAACTTTCTCCCACAGAGGGGTTGCGCTACAACTGGACGTGTAGCAAATCTGCAGCTGGCATTGGTTGATGATGCTCTGCTGGGGAGTTTGGACGTGATCAGATTTGTCCAGATAAGGGAGTGGAATATCTTGTCCCATTCCGGTTCGTGCTTCGCACTTGGCTTGATACCTCGTTGCTTGGAGGATGTGAGAGCTTTCTGTCCTTTTGCGGTCAGCTTCAGTGGTGCCCTTTTCTGGCAGGTAAAGTGCCCTTTCTGGCAGGTAGAGTGCCCTTTCTGGTAGATGCATTGACAACGGGGGAAAGACAGGAAGCCTGACTCAACTGTGCCCCTAGTT